ACAATGCTAGTGTGATTGGAACAAAATGGGTTTTTAGAAACAAACTTGATGAACATGGCATAGTAATAAGAAATAAAGCTCGTTTGGTTGCCCAAGGATACAATCAAGAGGAGGGCATAGACTATGATGAAACATTTGCACCGGTTGCAAGGTTAGAATCTATTAGGATATTTTTGGCTTTGGCTAGCTTTAAGAGTTTCAAATTATTTCAAATGGATGTTAAAAGTACCTTTTTAAATGGTTTTATAGAAGATGAAGTATATGTTGAGCAACCCCCGGTTTTATGGATCATTCATTTCCTAATCATGTTTACCGGGTTTAAAAAGCTTTATATGGGTTAAAACAAGCTCCTAGAGCTTGGTATGCTCGCCTCTCTAGTTTTCTTTTTGAAAATAGTTTTTCGAAAGGAAAAATTGATAATACATTTTTTGTGCAAAAAAGGAAAAATGATTTTATTTTAGTTTAAATATATGTTGATGATATCAATTTTGGTTCTACTAATGAATCTCTATGCAATGAATTTTCTAAAGTTATACAAGATTATTTTGAGATGAGCATGATGGGAGAGCTTACTTTCTTTCTCGGGCTCCAAGTCAAGCAAACTACGGATGGTATATTTGTTTATCAAAGCAAGTATGCTAGAGAATTGGTGAAGAAATTCGGTTTGGAGAATTCTAAACATGCACCAACTCCCGTGAGTACAAGTATCAAGCTTGATGCGGATGATAGTGGTGAGGATGTAGACCAAAAACTCTATCGAGGTATGATAGGTAGTCTTCTTTATCTTACCGCTAGTAGACCCGATATCATGTTTAGTGTGTGTGCTTGTGCACGTTTTCAAGCTTCTCCAAATACGTCCCATTTGATTACGGTTAAACGTATTATTAAATATATCAATGGTACAATTGATCTTGGTTTATTTTATCCTAAAAGCACCTCTTTTGATCTTTATGGTTTTTGTGATGTCGACTTTGCCGGATGTAAGGTAGATCGTAAGAGTACGAGTGGTACATGTCAATTTTTGGGTAACTCTCTTATCTCTTGGGTACCCAAGAAACAAAATTGTGTTATCTTGTCCACTACGAAAGCGGAATACATTATCGTCGGCTTATTTTTTTGTTGTGCCCATGTTTTATGGATGAAACAAAGTTTAGTTGACTATGATTTGAATTTTTAAAATATAAAAATCTTTTGTGATAACACTAGTGCTATAAATATTTCAAAAAATTCTGTTTTGCACTCTAGAACCAAGCATATTGATGTGCGTCATCATTTCTTACGCGATCATGTAGAGAGGCAATATGTTTCCCTTGTTTATATTGACACTAAATCTCAATTAGCGGACATCTTTACCAAGCCTCCTAGTGAAGATGATTTTTAGCGCATAAGAAATGGTTTGGGTTTATGCACTATGTAAAAGTTTTTGTTTGTTTGCTTAGATTAGTTGCACATCATATGCATTTTTTTTGCTCACCACTTATTTTACCCCATTTTGATGGTGACAAAGGGGGAGAGAAATCTCCTTATTTGTTGCACATAATTAGGGGGAGCTCATAGATAGGGGGAGCTACTATCTATAAGCTATATTTATTTTGTTCCAATATAATGGTTGGTTGTCATCATCAAATAGGAGAAGATTGTTAGCCCTTATGTTTTGATGATGATTTATAACCACCGTTATCGGTACTAATTGCTTGTTGAGTGATATTATAGTTTATATATATATCAAGCTTTTTAGTACCACTTATGGAGGATTGGATGGAATATGAGCTACAACGAAGATATCTAAAGGATGAGGAGGCAATGTGATGAAGCAAATGTTAATCAAGAACAACATATACAAGTAAAAGCTTCATCAACTTTAAGAAATATCAAGACTCAAAGAAATATAATTCTATGTGAGGATATTTGCTAGTTTTTCTTTTCTCTCTAGTGCTAGAATATAGGAAAGTAGCTGTAGATTTTATTTGAAGCAATTGGGATATCACACACACGTTTTCATACTTGTACTTTTGAGCGTTTTTGTCAAAATATTGTTTTTCATAAGTATGAGGACCTATTCGCAAAATTCCTTTTCTAAACAGTTTGTTTTTAGTATTGAAAACATTTTACAAAGTTACACAATGTTTAGAAATCAATTGAGTATTTTTACAGATTTTTTAAAAGAGTCAAAAACTGTTTTAAAACATTTTTTGTCATGTATCTGTTTGCGGTCGACCGCCACGGTCGACCGTCTTGAGTCCAGAGACTCGGAATGTTTGTCAGAGGCTTGCGATCGACCGTGACGGTTGACCGGATGCAGTCCAGAGACTCAATATGTTCTTCAGAGGCTCACGGTCGATCGTGGCGGTCAACCGGATGAAGTCCAGAGAGTTTTACGGTCGACCGCCACGGTCGACCGCCTGAAGTCCAGAGCCAAAATAAGATTCTGTAGTTTCGCGCGGTCGACCACGAAATTCCCACAATCGACCGCCGTTCACCCCAACGGGTTTTTCAGTACTGTTTCAAAAATCTTTTTTTACGGGATTTGGGGAGATTTGGGTATGGGTTTTGGCAGCTATGTTTTCTCCTATTTAAACCCCTCATACCCTTCTTCTTCAACCTGCCCCAAGTATTTTAAAAATCCTGAGTTTTGCTTTACTGTTTTCAAAAGAGCTGAACTTTCAATCCTGTTTTTCTCTGTTTTCAAGTTTACATCCCAAGTTTCAAGTGTGATCTCTCTCCTTGCCATAGGGTTACTCTAAAGAGAGAGATTTTACATCATTTACTACTGTTGTGAGTTTGATCTTGGAGATCAACTGTGTGGTAGTGAGATCTTGTGGAGATCGTTGTGTAGAAGAAGTTCCGGCTTTCAAACCAGGTTGTGTAGTGGATTCTCCTCGAGAGTGGAGAGCGGGAACGTAGGTCAGCGGACCGAATCTCGTTAACACATCGTGCGTCACTTAGATAACGATTTCTAACCCTATCTCATTTACTTTGATTGTTCATTTTGTGGTGTATTGCTTGTTTCCATTTTTATTGCACAATTATTGCCTTAAGACCCTAATCACCCCCCCCCCCCCCCCCCCCCCAATGCTGCCATCACGCCTGCTTGAGAAACCCTCAACCGCCCAAGCTTCGTTCCCTCTACGGCAAACTTTGGCACCGCTCGCTACTAGTTTTAGCACCGCCCGCCCAATTGTTAGATGATATATCGCACTCATCCGAACAACACAAATATGTACCGCTTGTACCTCAATGCACCACAGCAGCACTTCTTACACGGTCATCGAGCAAATGCCCACATCACCTGTTCAATCGAATTCCTCACCACAACATTTGTCAACTTCGACCTCCACTCTACTCATCGCCATCGTCGCCGCCAAGCTACACAACTACCCCTTCGACCAAGCTCTCTCCCAGGAAGCATCCATGGCCACATTCCCCCTTGGCCAACACCCCCGATCAAGACTCCCTCTGACCAAGCTCTTCCCGGCCAGGCTCCCTCAGATCACCACAACCACACCGTTCTATCCACACTATCACCGAACAGCTACAACCTCGTCTCCCTCTATCCACATTGCCACTGTACAGCTACAACCTCAGCTTCCTTTGTCCCCACTATCAAAGGACAGTCGCTACATCACCGTCTACAACCTCAGCTTCCTTTGTCCCCGCTATCAAAGGACAGTCGCTACATCACCGCCTCTGTCCAAGCCCTTACCGGATAACACCGCAACATCTAACTGGCGAACAAATCATCAGGCACACTTCTTCTCGGCAAACTGCATTTGGGGCCCAAATACAGTTTGAGAGCGTGTGTTACATGATGCAATTAGGCTGTCTTATTTTTCTTTATTTCAGTCCCACATTGCTTACGGTACCAGAACTTCTCTCATTACTATTGTATATAAACAACTCAATGTAATGAATAAGATTCATTCTCTCCCAAAAGCTCTATATTTATCGATTACATCCTCAAACCTTTGTAGACATTGCAACACTATACTAAAAAGAAGTTTAACTACGAAGAAAAACAGACAAAAATATACCAGTACACATTAAAAAAGAACAAATAAAATTGCAAGATTCATTCGCAGAATCCTAGGTAACTCCAGGCAGGAAATAGGAACTCTCTAAAAAGAGTTTTATTAACATAGGTAAAATAAAACAAGAGCGGCCAGCTAAGTGATTAGCAAAACCACACATATTTTCTTGCCGCCCGATTCACACGAGAAATGATGCTTGTCTTCAACTTCCACACTATTGTGCTATAAATAACTAAAAAAATTAAGGACATACTCCCTCAAATTTTCTCGGACTCCAAGCCTCGGATGTAGTCATGAAAAAATTGAAAGGCCTTGGACTGGGGCAGATACTAACGAGGATTTTGAAACGGGCCTCTTCGAGATTATGCTACGAAAAATATGTGCCGTCATCTGCTTCATCTCCCAAAGGATATTTGACGGTATATTTAATAGATAGAAATGAGATGGAAGATGAGGAGCAAAAATGCTGCAAGTACGTTGTGCCAGTGATTCAGATTAATCATCCGTTGTTTTTGGAGCTGTTGAAGGAGGCAGAGGCAGAGTTTGAGTTTCAACATCCTGGAGGAATTACAATCCCTTGTTCCCCATCAAGGTTCGAGCACGTGAGAATGAATATCTCTGCTACTGTTGATCGACGTCCTTCGTTTGTTAAGAAGCTACGGCGGATCCAATCATTCAGATTATAATTGACATTTTTGGGTACTAGAATCTTGAGGCTTAGGCGTGAAAAAGTTGACGAGCCCCAATTCTTTGTTGAGCTTATACTTAAAAAAGTGCAACGAGCTTTGCTTGAGAAAATTTGGAGTCCAACAACATAAAACAATAAAATGGAAAAGACTGTTCTATGATTCCATTTTGAATTACTCAAGTTCATGTTGAATATCTTCCATATTTTCCATATCTTTTGTATAAATTTTCAGACTGAAGGTTACTTCCCAACACCAAAATGCCACGTTCAAAAACTAAGTAACATGCAGAGTTACAATTACACAATTATATTGCTTAACCTTCATCATTTAAGTTAAAAATAAGAAACCTCTAGAAGACAAAGGTATAAAAGCTTTCAGCCGCTTAGTAAATACATTACAAAGTGTTCCTACATGAAGGCTTCGGCACCTACCACACTCACTTCCTGCAAAAATCATCCTACAGATTAAAAAAAAAAGAAAAAAAAATAACCTGAAAGAAGCAGAAGCTCACAGTTCTTTACCTGCCAGATCATCGATCGCATTTCTGTACACTACATCCAGCCTGGGATCTAGTCAAAAACTATAGTATTGGGCCATTGTTTGTGATTATTGGCTTACAGATAGACCGATAGCCTGTTATTAGCGTCAGGATCTTGAAGAACCGTGTAATACTTTGCGACATATTGTCATGCCGTCCCCAATTGGTACCTGTGAGTTTCCAATTGTTTATTTTTGCTTCAAATTAATTACAAGTGAAAACAAAGGCCAAAATATGCTATAAGGAAACCTACCATACTGATATTAACTCGCTTATCCTCAAGAAGTTTCTTATTGAAGTTTCTAATGCTGATGGTCTTTCGATCAGTCACCTGCATAAAATAGTGGCTTAACATAAATAACAGTTTTCTGAGGTAGTAACTGAACCACATTATCAAGATACATAGAATGGCATACTTGAGGATCAGCAACTTTTCCATGCCATAGGACATTATCCATCACAATCAGACCCCCAACCCTTACCTGCAAAATAAACACAGCCGATAAAGTGTTGTAGGACTTAAATGAGATACAAACCAACAGTTAAACAGATAAATAAAAGATTCGCCAAACCATTGTTGAGTGTATTTAAAATGCAAAATATGTCTAGATGGAACATAACTCATGATATGACATTTTTCAAACAGAAAACTAAAAAAGAGTTATTTTAGAAAACCTCCTCAACTATTTTAATTCGACTTAATCCATCTCAATTTTAGGGGTGCTGTAGATAATCTCCCTGAACTTCTTCAGTTTGAAATAACCACCATGAATTTTTCTTACTTAAACCCCCAAAAGTAAGTTAGCACTGTTATTAAGTCTTTAGAGTACCATGCGACAACCACATGACTAAAAAGACCAAAATAGCCCTCAGTCATAAAAAATTTACCCTTTATCCTTTTTCATTTTTTGTTTAAAAAAAACCTCCCACACTTTTACCCAAATATTAATCAGGGTGTTTTCTCAATGCCAGGGTTTTTTAACTAAAATTAAAAATTGGTTTTTTCCCGAAGGGTATTTGAGTCATTTCACATTTTGGGTTAACGACATCAGGGGTCATTGAGAAAAAAGTAAAGATCAGTGTGCGAGACATAGTTATATTTTAGGAGGTTAAGTTGAATTAAGAAAGTTCAGGTGGGCTATCTACAACACCCCCTTAAATTATAATAGTTTCCTTTTGAAGGGACACAATTATATTGTCTCACAGACAAGAATATCAAAATATCATATACATTCTGGAGCCTCATGAAGATCTAATAGAAAAGTACATTTCTATGTGAAAGAAAATTGTAGTCTATGTGCACACTGCACATCTAGTACTTGATTGTCTGATAAGCTGTACTGATACAATATAAAAATCTAGACTGAAGAAGTTGCTTTCTAACTTGGTTCTCCGCCAGCCATTAGAGTTTGCAAATTGAAGAGTTTTGAGGATTGCTCGTGCCTCTCCTTTTTTAGAGGTTGGCTTTCTAAAGCCTTACCAAATTCAAAGCACTATAGCTCTGGGGCCCCAATAGCAGCACCTTAAGGATTTACCTATGCAAATGTACGACTCCTGTGAAATCTACTGGGTAGGTAGATCCTAGAGCCTTCGCAGAAATTTAGACAAAGCACAGTGCAGATTAGAAAAATGAAAGTGGTATCACAGTTCAAAGCTTAAACTACTGTGGATACACACTAGTCAAAGGTTGGCAATGTAAAGCCTTAATAAATCCAAAACACTACATGTAGGGTGCTGGTAAGAGCACATGTTGCGGAGTTTTGGCCGATTCTCATGGAACATACTGGGTAAATCCTACAGCCTTGTAGAAATCAGGATAAAGCATAGTTCAAAGCAATGTTACATTAAACGCTGGGCGCTTCTAGGCGTCGGACTTGGCGCCCAGCGCGTAGCCGTCTAGGCGGGCGCTTAAGCGGTTTCTGGGCATTTTTTTTCTTTTTTTTTATTGTGATACTTGAAGATAAATATATATATATACTCAATCAAAGATGTATAATACTAAAATACCAACACTATTAATTAAATTGCTTGGTTTATCAATTACAATAGCTCTTTATATGTTTATATTTCTCAACTCAAATTATAAGTTCATCTCAACTCAAATTACAATATGTATTAAATTCATATAAATTTTTAAAAAAAAATAGCAATTTTAGTTCCACAATAAATCATGCATACTTAGATACTAAATAGCCAAAATAATAATTAACAAGGCTAGAGCCTAAGATGTTTTATTTTTTATTTTTAATTACAATAATTGATAGTGAATGTCAATGTTACAGAAAGCTTAGATGTCGGACTGGTGTCTAGGCGGATTTCTTTCTTCATTTAAGTGGTGGTCGATGAGGTTTTGTTGAAAGTCGGAGGAGGTAGTGGAGGTGTTCATATTTGGAGGTTAATGGAGTTTGGAGGACGTGTAAGCTACAACACATAAAATCACAACCAAGACCTACAGGATGCAATCCACATAAGCAAACAATGCTCCCCTAAACGCTCGTAAAATCTAGGTGGGCAACCTAAATGCCGCCTAGTCGCTAGACGCTAGTTAGACGGACTAGGTACCGCCTAGGCCTAGGCGAACGCCTAAGCGGACTAGGCGGAGGTTTTTTAAAACAGTGGTTCAAAGCTTGGCTACTATAAATATACACTAGGTATGAGTTTTGTGTGATCATTGAATAGCAGTATTGGTTCAAGACTCAGTTCACCATGTATTTAACTATTCTTCATTGATCTTTGTGGGATCAAAGTTCTAGCACATATTCACTACGCACATGTTACTAGAAGCAACCAAAAGCTAGTATGAAACTTATAAGGGATTGTTAGATTATTTCCTCAAAAGATTTCCTATTCTGGGTAAAAGTCTCAGACTTTAAATTTATAGCATCTTCTTATTAATTAGTAGCCAGGTAATACGAAATCTTTTTATCATGTTAAAGGACCAGACTTTGAGCCTTGCCTAGCAAGCCTGAACATCAATTAAATTAAATAATCCTTAATAAGATTGGGTTTAGGCTTTGGCCAACTTTTTTGGCCTTTTTGACCGTGGACCATGGATCATGCTGTCGGGCTGAGGCGCAATGGGTGTTATGCGGGTGCAAAAAGTGCTTTGTAGATGGACTTTGAACTTAGCATTCAGGCATCCAGGCCTTTGTAGTAGGACTTGCAGTAAGAAAATTAATTAATTAATGTTGCAATTTAATTGGGCCATAATTAAAGAGAAATAACGGCTTTGAATATTTATTGTGCTCATAATATACAGAGAGCCTGTTAAATAAAAGCTATTATTATGCCATTAAGCTTATAAAAGGAGTCCAAATCGCTCATTTTAAATATAAAAAATTCCAGATCTCTCTGCATACTTAGAATCATCTGAAAAGCTCACCTACACATTGATCTTCTTGTTGGTGTACACTAGAGTACTCTCTTTGTTCTTCCTGGAAGTGGTTCGTTCTTGGGGTACTTGCACCGGAGTAGTCGAATAATGTTTCAAGGAATGCCTCTGAGGAGCCACAACCACTACCAAATTACAGTCAAGAGAGATAATCCCTTAGTTTTTGTCCATTTTCTACTATTCACTTCAATAATATTTGATCCGCCATGCAGTTGAGGAGATAGTTCCTGAAGAAATGGCCGTTGCGGTCTGAATATTGCCTCAGACTTGCCATTTTCCTCAAGGTCTAGAAGTCTAGTATCTTTAACGGTTGCATCCCGAAAATGATCTTTTGTTTCCATGCACTGTAATCATATCCATCGAAGCTCTCTAGCTACAAACAACCAATTCTAATTGTCTTAGCAGCGTCCATTAGTTTGCTGGAATAACACTTCAAGACTGGGAATAATTAGTGGAAAATGGACAGAAAACTAAGGGGAAATTTTAATTAAAATTTCTTGATTGTAAGAAAAAAGGGATAGAAAACTAAGGGCAAACTTTAATTAAAATTTCTTGATTGTAATTCAGTTGAACTCTTGTGCATCCTACGCCTCCTTAAAGCCTTACTCAACTACTCCGGTGCAAAGATCCCAAGCACGAACAACTTCAATGAACTGCAAAGAGAGCACTCTGGTGTTCACTAACCAAGAGCGCTATGTGCGGACAGACTCTGCAAATAACTAGGTACTGAACTTTGGCTCTGAACTAAGCCAATAGCTCATGAATTCTTGATGCTTGAAATGAGAGATTCAGACTCCTTTTACAGGCTTGCTAATAACACCATTAATAATGTATATTTAATGACCTTTATTAATAGCCGCTTTGAACCTATATTTAATAGGTGTTATTAAAGGCATTACTACACTTATATTTAATACCCTTTATTCATCCATTGTGAGCCCAATGTATATTTAAGGACATTAATTCTCTTTAATTATGGCTCAATTAAATTGTTTCAGTAATACATTTATTAAGCCAATTTATTGGCTCAGATTCAAATTTTAACCCATTTACGACGGTTGCATTTAAGTCCAGAAACCCAAAGCTCAGCTCCTCCCTCAAAGTATTCCTAAGAAGCAACCTGTGAGGCGAACAATGATACTAAGTGAAAAGTGCATCTATAAAGCACTCATTGCAAGAACACCGCACTCATTTCACCTAAGCCCGACAGCCAATCCATGGCCCACAGCCAAAAGTTCCAAAAACCCAAGTCAAATCTTAAGTTCAATCATAGGAGGAAGTCCCAAAAATCAAAGTCAAATTTTAGTTCAACCTTATGGAGAATTATTTAATTTAATTGGTGTTTAGGGTTTCCTTCAGCAAGCCTCAACTCTGGTCCTTTGACATGATAGAAAATTTTATATTGCTGAGCTACTAATACTACAAATATAAATTGTGAAACTTTCACCCAGAATCAGAAATCTTCTTAAAAAAGAAATTAATCTAACATTAAATTGTAAATTTTCAAGTAACACGAGTCATTAATGAAGTTGACATTGCAGAATATCAGAGACAATGCTAATATCAGGTTAGTCTATTTGAGCTACTAATACTATAAATATAAATTTTGAAACTTTCACCCAAAAAGAGAAATCTTCTTAAAAAAGGAAATCGATCTAACAAAAAATTGTAAATTTTCAAGTAGCATGAGTTCATTAATGAAGTTGACATTGCAGAATATCTGAGACAATGCTAATATCAGATTAGTCTATTTGAGCCACTAATACTATAAATATGAATTTTGAAACTTTTACCCAGAAATGGAAATATTTTTGAAAAAGGAAATCAATCTAGCAAAAGATTGTAAAGTTTCAAGTAACATGTGAGACAATGCTAATTTAAGATTAGTTTATTTAAGATACAGAGTATTAGCATTTCGCTGGGTAAACTTTATTTTTTCCTGACTTGATATGTTAGGACCTTAGATAAGAGAGAAGCAAAAGAGCTTGTTCAAATTTAAGGAAATATCCGAGTAAAAGAGCCCTAACAGCTTAATGAATGCGAATTTCTTGGCTGATGCTAGATAGCTATAACATCCTCATATGGAACTGCATGGAAACGTGTCTGACATAATAAGTTCCTTCAGCTTCTAAAACATACTGCACTTGTCCTTTCCCAGATAAGACCAATATTATCCATCACCATACCTAACTAGTGGGAACTTGGAACTGAAGAAGAGGAAAGAAAAAAGATAAATAACCAAGGCTGTTATCAAGCCAGCTGCTGATTCATTGAAGTAAAACTACAATCCACAAATCTAGCAAAAGAATTGAATAGGAACATGAAAAGTTTGATTAAGCTGATCTATAATCTGAATAGCATAAACATCGGCAGGCTACTCCTCAATCGAAAAGTAAGATAAAAGAATTTGAAAAGAATGAAAGCAGTGAGGGAGGTTAACTCTTATTATCACAATTACTATAGTATAAAGTAAACTGGAACTAGAATGGTACCAATTGTAGAAGCAATTCGAAATATTCTTCGTACATTCGCTTCTCAGCATCAACAAATGCAAAATCATAACTGATAGAAAAAAGGAGACTGTGTTAGATAGTACAGTGAGCTCATGTCATTAATGTACTGGCAAAAATCATAACAAGGAGAACGATAGAAAATTACTAACTTCTGAAAAATTATATGTTTATTAAGAATGTTCTAGTAAACTTTTTTACTCATTTTGACACCAGAAACTGGATAGGAAGCAGCCAACCAAACAGCAACATAAAAAAGAAAGCAATTTGTCTGTGTTTCAGCAATTATTTGTCTATTTGTATTGGGGGAAAGACCATGATGAGTAAGGGAGTTATTCCTTTAATTATATTGTCGGAAAAATGGTGATGATGCATATCCTAAATTATTCTTAGCTCCACCCTAAGTTATAGGAAATAACAGCAATTCTCATCACCATTTATCACGAATATGTAATAAATAATCTTTACAACTTTCAATATTCAAGGATATAGAATATGAAACATGAAATATACACACTTAAACCCTCATTTGACAATATATCATAAATACATACAGTGATCAATTAGTATGATTAGACCAAGTTCAGCGATAACTCGAAGGAACCAGATCCGGTGAGCAAAAGAAAAACCTTCTACATAACTATGAAGGGAAAGTGAAATCCAAATTGCAAACTAGTTCCATCTAATGTACCTGCAAGCTTCACCGTTCAGAATTAGAGATCTTAAAGTATCCACTGCCAAAGCATGTTTTATGTTCACCTGGACCATCCACGTTAATGAAAAAATTAGAAGGTTCATATAAATTGTACAGGCATGAACTGTATATCTATTCCAGCAGATCTGCAGAACCCAGAGTATCATATATGACTAAAATGTGTCCTGTAGAAATTTTAAGAATTAATATGACTACATAAATACAAAACTTGAGTTCCTCAATCAAGCAGGAAAAATATATTTTCATACAAGTGCATTAACAACTATGTTTCATAGACATGGGTACAGGACACTGCGAATTTGCAAAAGGTAGGGCGTATGGGGACACCGCTGAACACACACTCACACTAAGTTGCATAGATACGGGTACGGGTGTGGGTATGGGACAGGACAAATTTGTAAAATGTAGGGGGTATGGGATCACGGCTGAATAT